ATCAGCTCATCTTGATTCTGTCCTTAGCTCTTGCCACTGCCCCACTGGGTGACCATAAGTGTGTCACTTCACCTGTTGGCCTCCATTTTCCCATGAGTTAAATGAGCAGCCAGCAAAATCATCCAGTGCAAGCCTCACACTCTGTGATTCTCATGTATTGGTAAGAGCGTTTGGAAACAGGTGGAATGTGCCACAGGTACGTGCCTCTCCTTTGTTTTCCTGAGGATGGAGAAGAAAGGAGAGCTGAAGGGTTAAAGCCGAAATACCCAAAGAAACTGGGAGGCTTGCCCACCTCTTTGGAGGTTTTACTGTTGCCTGCGTTGCACAGAGTGGTTCATAAGTAGTGACCTGCAGGTCAGTCCTGGCTTACAACTGTTATTCTGGCATAATTAAGAACTACCTCCCTGCCAAACGCTGAAAAGTATTATGGTTTGACCTATGATTGTAAGGTCATGATAGTAAAAACCCATCATTTTTAAGGCATGAAGCTGGAATTGTATGATAATCCCATTAGATTCTGGGGCTACAGTTGTTATGTAATAACAGACCAGTGAAGGACTTCACTGTATACAGTGTGCTTTCACATACCACCTCCGTATGATCTGCAAAGCAGCCTTGTGTGATGGGGTGAGTGGTGTTGGTATTACCATTTTACTAAGGCCCAGAGAGGTTAAGTGACTTGCCCAGGGTTGCACAGCTAGTAAGTCCTGGAGTACAGATTGGAACTCGTGGCTTAGGTTTTCCAAATGCTGTGCTCCTGTCAGCTTTATCCCACAATCAGGATCTGCTAGCTTGCAAAGTAGGGAGTAAAGCCTAGGTTCTAGAAGTTCATGTTGTCAGTTTCTTCAGAGCCTGGAGAAAGGGATGCTCCAACAGGAAGTAGTTCATCCTGGCCTAATCAGCAGATTGCACCAGGGTGAAGGCACTGACAGGCTGCTCTTCCTTGCCTCTTTGCAGGGAATGGGGCTGTTTCTGAAAGGGCTTCATTCATACCTTCTGCCTCTCAGCTGGGCCTTGGAGGAAACTCTGGGTCTTTTATTAGCAGCCTTTTTCCCAGCCCAGGGCTAACCTGGAGGTGTGCATTACCCACACAGGCAAGGTGTCCCTCACCCACCCCTCTAACAAGGCCTCTGAGTCTTCCTTGGGCCTCAGGTCCCTCTTCCTCCCTTGCCAGTTTAGAAAAAGAAATCCAGCCAAGCAGAGGGGGCTGAGTATATTCCCCCCACCCCAGCATTCCTCCTCCTTTGTCCCTCATGCTGGGTGGCCCAAGTACTTAACCCTCAGGGTCAGTTTAGACGCTGGCCATAGGCATCTGGTTTGAGAAATAGTGCCTAAAAGGAAGGATCGCCCAAGGAGAAACCTCTTGCGATCCATGGCCTCTTCCTGTAAATAAATATTTTATTCTTCTCTGCAACACTTTATGCATGCCTTGAGGCAAATGCATTTTAACATCTGAAAAATATTGTCTGGAATAAAAAAAAAATTTATTCCCACTCTGTTGTAATTTCTTTTAATATAGGAGACTGTGTAGAGTTCTTTATGGAAGCAGGTCCTTATAGATTGTCCATACAGCCATTCCAAATGATAGGTATTTATTCAACAGACGAGAGACACAGAGCCATGTATTTGAGAGAATGGGTAAATTGGAGTGGGACAGCAGCCACTTGGCACACTCAGTGTGGCTTGACGCTTAGAACATGGACTTGGCAGAGCAGTGTGCTTGTCCATACAGCCATTCCAAATGATAGGTATTTATTCAACAGACGAGAGACACAGAGCCATGTGTTTGAGAGAATGGGTAAATTGGAGTGGGACAACAGCCACTTGGCACACTCAGTGTGGCTTGACGCTTAGAACATGGACTTGGCAGAGCAGTGTGAAGCCCAGCGAGTCTCGCCCAGTGCCAGAGAGCGCCTCTGTCCCCAGTTGGTCGCTTTGCTTGTAGAACAAGCACAGTCTTGCTCAGCGACGCTTGCTGTTTCGGTGGTGTCCTTACTGAGAATTTCCTCTCGGCACTTGCCAGGCATCCAGTTGCAACTTGCCTCTTGTATCCACTCCTATCCCAGTGGGGAGAATAAGCTAATTTCATTGTAGCTTAGTCCTGATTTTAATTGACTGTGATACCAATTAAGTGTTCAGGAATTCTGTCATATCCTAAAGGAATGAAACGCATGTGAAGGCTGAAGCAGCCCATTGAATAGGAAGAAGAAAGGGCTCCTCATCTGACCAGAATCTCTTTATTGTCTTGCAGAAATCAGGAATGGAAACCTCAAGGCCATTCTAGGCCTCTTCTTCAGCCTCTCCCGGTACAAGCAGCAGCAGCAGCAGCCCCAGAAGCAGCACCTCTCCTCACCCTTGCCTCCTGCCGTGTCCCAGGCGGCTGGGACCCCCTCCCAGTGCCAGGCTGGCACTCCTCAGCAACAGGGGCCAGCCACTCCCCAGGCCCCGTGCCAGCCTCACCAGCCAGCACCGCATCAGCAGTCCAAAGCACAAGCTGAGATGCAGTCCAGGTGGGAGGCCCTCACCAACCAACGATTCTGTTTTTCAGGTGCCCTCTTCCACACCACCAAATTCTAGCCTATACTGAATGTGTTTTTCATTTGAGCTTCTTCCTGGTAGTTAGTGGGGAATTAGCGTGACCTTGAAATGGGTGCAGTGAGGCCTCCTTCTGTGCCTGGTGGTGATGTGTACTTTTGTAGGTCAGAATCGCCAGCAGCCGAAGCTAATTAGCTGCCCCCAGAGTAATTCTAGCCTATTTATTACACACACACTCATAGGCAATAAACAGCCCCTAAAATAGACTTCAAACCCCTTTTGTGTGTTTGCCTACAAACCGGGTGTTCAGAGTGAGACGTGAGAGTAATTTTACTTATTCAGGCAGAAGTTCTGTTCCAGTGGATCCCTCTGCTTTGCCAGAAGAGAAATATAGAGAACACTGAAGAGAGGTGGCAGGTGGTTCTTAGCAGGGGACGAGGCAGCCATCTTCCCTGAGAGGGGCAATATCCGTGATGGGAGCAGTTTCCATTAAATATGACTGGGTTTTGTTGAACTTAGACAGTGGGAGCTGTGTTGTGTTGAACTAAGGGAGAGTCCCACTATGCAGGAGTGATCTCTCCTGCTCTGCAGGGTTAGGGCCTGGAGTTTGCTGGTGTTCTCAGAGGGACTGATGCTTGCCAGTCAGACCAATGTACAAGCAGATGCCACCGTAGTTACCATCTACTGTGTTACAGTGCAAATAGCTGTATTCCTAAACAGCTCTGCAAAAGATCACCCTGTAAAACATTTGTTTTAACAGCAGGAAAAAAGGAGGGGATAGGGAACTAGAAAGTTTTTGACTCATGGTAAAGTTCTAAAGAAAACTTCATAATAATTGTTTTCTGTTAAGCCGTACATCTGTAACTATAAAACCTAAATGTCACTGATCAAATTGATGGCTTGATTTCATCTAATCTGTGCTAAAGAGTAAGACTTTTCTTTCCGGTCTCCCAAAGCCCCAGCATTAATAATCTAAGGCTTCTTGTACACCTTGATACTCTTTATCACCCATTGTCTTTGGATAAAGCATAAATCTGCTCAGACACAGCAGACACAGCAGCTGCCATATAGAGAGTTACAGCTTTTTTCTCCCATGAGACGTGCTATTTCCCACTTGTGATGGTATTAAA